ATATAAACTTAACTTAAACATTTCTTAATTAAATATTAAAAATTCTATATAACCATCAGATCTCTGTGACTATTTCAACCTTGACCCTCCATATTTTCTTTCTCTTTATTTTTAGAAAAATAATTGCTTAGTTAAACAAAACTTAGTGTCTAGTGAATTTAACTGGCCTTTGTTAAAGAATTGTAAATGGGATGATTCTTATCTCAATGGTTCCACTTATAAAATATCTACAGACTTATATTTCACTTATCAAATATTCTGTTCAAATGAATCATAGTCATTTTAAGGTAGACTGAAAACAAGACAAATTTACAATCAATTCCTCAGTTTGCTTGCCAGTTTTTTTTAAAAAAAACAGACCTAGACATAAAATGGCATTGTATATCCTCAAACAAATGAGATGAAATATTATGAAGGAATATTTCAGATATATTACAAACAATCTTGGTATCACATCAATCCACAATTTTTTGAATTGGAAAGAAACAAAGATGATTTGTCAACATTTTGGATTTTCTGCAGAATCTGTTGGTAATCAACAAGTGGGTTCCCAATATTTTGGCCTAGTTCTATTTAACTTAAACTGTAGTATAGCTGCTAAACTTTCAACTTGTGAATATCAGAACAAATGGTTAGCTTATTCAGATTTAGAAATTTTTGGTGATAAATTTCCATTTTAATCAGTTTTAACCTTTAATCACATGTGTTTAAAAGTATTGATTTATGATATAAAAATTACTTTTTTCTTTCTTTACTCTTAAAAATAGAAACTCTCTTTTCATTAAATATTTTTGAAACAGCATAACAAACTGTAAATGAATGAGATCTATCATTATTTTTATCAGACCTAATAATTCTATTAAGTTATTACTTTAACCTCTTTAGAAAACTGGTGTACATGTCAAAATTTATTCAGATCTGGAAATTTAGAAATTCTAGGTGGATAAGAATTCTCTAAATAAAAAAAATACATTTAAATATCAATCAAGATATGGGAGAATCTTTAATAAATGTTTTTGTTCTTCTATCTCAATCAGCTAACACATTAACAGATATCAATCTTGAATGATGCCATCTAACTGCTAATCATGGTATTAAAATTGGAAATTTGGTGAAAAAATGTTTCTTAGTCTTTGTTTCGAATATCCAGTTTTTATCCTACAATTTATCCTCAGGCCTATTGTAAACCATTCTTTTGTAAGGTGTCACATAGTCACATACAGTAGTCTGCATAAATTTTGGTGCACCCTAAATTTTGATAGGCCAAATTTAAAATAATGGTCAAAAATGTTTTTTCCCAAAAAAATAGTTGTTTTTGTCTAAATTTATAGAGATAAAGAGTAATATTTATGTAATATTGAAAAAAAATTGAGAAAATGATGATATTTGGATATCTGTTTTTAATTTTCACCCACTTGGCATTTCAGACGTTTGTTTAAGGTAAGTAAAAGAGAAAATGTTAAATGGAGAAATTCTGCGCATCTGCTTAGAAAATGTTGCTTTCTTTTGCCGTATCTATCCAAGTCTTTTTGATATTGAACATCCAAACTGAAGTGAAAATTAACCAATATTAATTTACAGTTTGAATAGGAATTTTCTTGTTTTACTTTATAGACAACAAAATCAAGAAATTCAATAAGTGTTATTACAGAAGCACCCAAAAGGAGACCCATAAATCCACTAACTTCTGACAGGAAATATAGAAAGCTAAACTTTTCCTGTTGAATAATCTTTTGAAAATTCATCTCTGTAAAAATTATCAACTTTTGCAAAATTCTTTCTGTTGAATGAAATTGAAAATAGGAGAAATATTAACAATAAATCAAAACTGAAACTTACAGAAGAAATTCTTTGTTTATATTTTATAAACAATTTCTATAAAACTCATAAGTGAAAGATGGGAACAACAGAAGTCGCCCAGGGCAGAAGTCGCCCAGGACAGAAGTCGCCCAGAAATTGATAGAAGTCGCCCAGAGCTGTGACAGAAGTCGCCCAGAACTGTGATAGAAGTCGCCCAGGACTATGACAGAAGTCGCCTAGAACTGTAGAAGACATAATGTGTTTGTTCTTTGTTTCTATTGATTTCTGACAATTGAAATATATAATAAGTATTAATAAATATAGAATGCATCATTTAATAATAACTAAATAGTGAATGAATTAAATAATAAAATACTGGCATTCTGTTGAAGGTTTCACATAAATATCATTTATTTGCTTAAACTTGTTCACAAACTTGAGGTTCTATTTGGATCAGTACAGCAGAAAATTCCCACAATCACAATACAAAGTACAGTATTGAGTTTTAAACTAAAAATCTTATGCATTTCATTTAATTTATTAAATTTGTTTCTACATTCAAAGCAGAATTTTGCCATGTTCATCAATTTCTTTCAAATACCTCTTATGTCAAAGATCATGAGAATTAAAAAAAAATTGTAAGATATATACATGATTTTAAAGAGACTAATATTTTTATCAAAACAATTGTTACTTTTGAAGGATTACAATGCAGAAAATCACTTAATTCGAATAGCTAACAATTCAATTTTCACAACAAATCAAGTGGTAAAACATTACTCTACAAAAAAAACTGGTAAAACAATTTCTTTCATTATCACTCAGAGATTACAAATAATAAATACAAACTACTTCATAAATTATTTTCATATATTTTGCATTTTATTAAGCATACTGTAAACTTCTAGTACACTTCTGGGCGACTTCTGTCATAGTCCTGGGTGACTTCTATCACACTTCTGGGCGACTTCTGTCACAGCTCTGGGCGACTTCTATCAATGTCTGGGCGACTTCTGTCCTGGGCGACTTCTGCCCTGGGCGACTTCTGTCGTATTCGTGAAAGATTGAAGATCATTGTACTTGGATATTAGATCACCAAGTTTTTCTATGAAAATATTTGGATAGTTGAGTGTACACAATGCAATGGCATTTCCAAAGAAATAAAAACAATCGCCCCAGTCTTTTACTTCATTCAGTTAGGGGTGCGAATGTACCTGGGTTCGAACGTACCCAAGGTGGGTGCAAATGTACCCAGGTACATTCACACCCTCTTTCCTCTTTCATTTATTTATTGATTTTTCATCAAATGGTTTGGTTCCAGAGGTGTACACATGTTATACTGTTGATTAGATATTGTAAATACACAGTTGAATATGAACTGAAAGATATGTATTTAAACAGCTAAACAAACACTAAATTCTAATACTAAAGAATAAGATAAGTTAAAAACTGATGTTTATGCTGGAGAGTAGATATGAGATGTCTGCATCAATAAATCAATTGATGTCAATTAGCTCAACTTGAAATCATCCCACAAATTAAAAATTTTCTTTTGGATGTCAACATATTTTTTCTTTTGATATTTGAAAACTCTTTTCTCTGACAATGATTTCTCATAAACTGCAATAAATTCAGCCTGTTTCTTTAGTTCAGCAACCAGCATGTAAAAAGATCCTTTAGCAGGTAGCTTACTGTTCATTCTTTGATGCCATCCCTCACAGTCATTATTGGTTCTAATGGATAAATCAAAAACTGACCAATTATTTACTTTCCATAGTTTGTTTTCCACCCAGTGTGTTTTGAAGTATTCCAAGAGATCTAAAAACTTATTTTTTTCAAATAGCTCTGTCTTTATGCTGTCAAAAGTTGGTTGAATAATATGTGGTGGCAAAAAAGGGAGTGCCATCAATTTTCTGAAATCTTTCCAATCATCTCCTTTTTCCTTATATTTCTTCACATAGCCAAGAGCCTTTTTAATAATTCAAGTTATTCAATATACAATAAGTTTTAGATAAAAATAACTTACCTGTATTTTTCTATAAACTGCTTGTGTGAAATGAAACACACAACCTTGAAATTCAGGCATGGGGTATATTTTTATTAATGCTTTCCATAGTCCTTTTTCAAAATCCATTGTAATTCTTTTGGGATGTTCATCATTTATCAGATTGTTGATTATGCTGCAAGCAAAATTATATTTCATCATTATTCTTGTACAGAAAAAAAAAATTATTCAACTGAAATGCTTGGATATATGCTTTGGTATGCTTTGATGTTAAGAAAATGAAAACAAGAGGGACTTGCTTCATATCACCACTCTTTTTTACAAAGGAATGAACAGTGACAAGCTGATAAAATGGATCCTTAACAATTTTGAAAGTACCATCAATATACCAGTAGTTGGATTTGGATAATAAGTTCAGCTGATGGTTTGTTGCAAAAATTAAGATTCTTTCTCCATTTTCACAAATGTCTTTCTGGAGAAATTCATCAGGTAAAAAAGTTGTGTTCAAGTTGAAATTATACACTTTTGGTTCAACTGGCCTGAATTTTTGTCTGTTTGAGTTTGCCATCCTTTTTAAGCAATTGATATCAGGAAGACATTTAGCATTAGGTTCATATGATAATAGAACTTTTTCAGCAATGCTTCTTGCAGATGCTTTGTTATCACTTTTGCAAATAGTTTTTACATCAGTTTTTACTTTAACATCTACTTCCAAATTAGGTTTTCTGTTGTGATTATGTTCCAGATTGCCTTTAATAAATATACTTCCATTTTGTCTTATTCTAGCTACACATCTTTTTTTCTTACTTCTCACACTGCATACCCAAATTGTTGTTGTAAGTGTTTTATGTTTAACAACAAAAGAATATCCATCATTCAATAAAATGTCATGTCCTTTTCTGCTTCCTCCTTGTACAATCTCAAAATTATTCCTCCTGATTGAGTCATTTTCATCTTCTGTATTTTCATCAGTTCCTTCTACATCCATTGATTGGTTTTCTGATTGCCAAGGACTTTCATAATCCAATGTTGAATCTTTAACCTCAGCAGGATCACTTCTGTTATCATTGTACAACTTTGGTTATATTTTACATGCTTGAACTCTATTATTTTATGCAACTTATACATGTACATTTTAAAACCTACACAAGAAAATGCTATAACATTGGCCAAACATAAGTCTGATTAGTCAGCTTGAAGGCTCATCTTTAATTACCAATAAAGGTTTGGCCAAGTTATAATTTTAATTAACTTGCCTAGGGTGTGGCCAAGTTATAATTCAATTAACCTTCCTAAATGTTCAACCTTGTAACATCCTCTTACTAAACATAAATATGAACTACACATTTCGGCAACTGTAAAGTGATGATTGGATGTCAGAGGCAAACCTCAAAGTATATAAATCCTCACTATTCTCATTTGGCATGCAGCTTCCATCTGGACCCAAGGACCTGGGAAAATCATCTGGAAACAACCTCCACTGGAACAATCCATCTACTCCTCAACATTGGAAGACAGTTTGGTAATTTGGCAACCTGCTTTTACGAACTATCTACTCTGCTATCGAACTCTCATATTGTTACTTGCTTAAGTATTATTATTTTGAATAAACCGTTTTAATTTAAACATTTGTTTAAAGGTTCGAGTAGAACCAGTATTGTTATAACTTGCAAACACATAGATTTTGCCAGCAAGAGCAGTACATTATTAACTTCAACACTATGCAAAACACTATACTATTCAAAACAAATTCACTTTCTACAACTTTTTCCATTCATTTTTCATAACAACTTCACTGATTGATATGATCAATAAAGGCCACTGTACTTTCCTGCTGGGGGTTGTAGGTCATAAGTGTACAGCCACGGAAGCCTAAATTTTCAAAGAATTTATAGAGCCAGAATTAATTATAGGAATTGAACATAAGGATCTTTATTTTCATTATTTTCAAACTCTTTGTAAAATATAAATTAATTGGAAGGTACACATTGGATTCATTTGTTATTCATGGAATAATGTCATTCTTCCCCCTGTTCAATTTTTAATAGAGTAAGTTAAATGAAACAAAATAGTGTTTTATTCACCTAAAATATTGATTTTCAATGTATGAATGTGGTGTGAAAGAATATTCTTTATTTTTTTCAATGAAACTCAATGATTAACAGATATTTCATGTCATTCATTACATCAGGCTATGATAGATGGAGCCACCATTGAATTAGTAAGGGTAAAAAAACCTTAAAAATAGATATTTTTTTCAAACTACTGACCTTTACCAAGCCCTTTAAATGATTGTTACACTCTGGGCAAACAAGACAAACTTGACAGTATCCAAATATTAAATATTAATTTATTAGCATTGTACTTGTTTAGATTCACTTGATAAAAATAATTTGTCTTTATGAACAATTTATATAGAATATATGAAAAAAATTCTATTCTATTGATACCAAATTCTCACAGACACAAAGCTTTAATAAAACAATTGAAAACAATAGAAAAAAGCTATCCATTTACATTTTATAGTTGACATGAAAAATTTAATAACATTTCCTGTTTGCATTCATTGAAAATTATATAAAACACAACTTTTGATATAGCTAATTTAATCATTGTGAAACTTATTATCATCTATATAAAAATCCAAAAAGAAACAATGTCTAAAAATGTAAAAACCTGGTTGGATTTTTTTAATGAAACAACATTTCATGGAATAAAAAATATTTTTGAGAAAGAATATCCAATTTTTAGGCGTATAATCTGGATATTTATTGTTCTTGGAGCAATAACATTATTTTCTTATCAGCTGGTCAGAAGAGGGTTAGATTATAGTAAGAAAGATGTTACAGTGAATGTTGAAGTGATCTATGCCGATCATCTTGATTTTCCATCCGTTACAATTTGCAATCAAAATAAATTCAGGTAGATTGTTTTTTTAGAAAAAAAAAACTAAAGATGATGATAGTTCATTTGATTTTTCTCCAGAATGACAAGTTCTATGGAATTGAATTTGTATAAATTCTTAAGTAATGTTTATAGTTCAAATGGAAATAATAATGTTTCCTTTGATCAAAACTTACCAAAAGATTTAATCAACAATATTGAGTATATTTATGACTTTTCTAGACATAAACAATCAAATTTGATATTCAATTGTTATTGGGCTGGTGAAAAATGTCCAGGAGAGTATATTACAAAAAGTATCACCGACTATGGAATATGCTATACATTCAACTCTCCTTCATCTCTAAAACAAACTAAATCCTTAACAGTTACTGAGTCTGGATTGAATAATGCTCTTTCCCTTCTACTCAATCTTGAACAATACGAATACATGCCTGGACCAGATAATGATGCTGGTGTTAAAATATTCCTACACGACGATTACAAAAGACCACTTATGTCTGATTTAGGATTTGCCGTAGCTGCCGGAATGCATACCCTAGTTGGAATAAAACGAACAGAATCTGAAAGTTTAGGTGATCCATTTGGAAAGTGTATTAAATCAAATTACAAATCTCACGCCGAGTGCATAGATCATTGTCGATTAAGGGCATCTGCAAACATATGTAAATGTACACCATATGAAGCAAGTGCAATTTTAACAGAACCTAATCAAAGTTACAAAAGACTGTGTTCCATCATAGAGAATTATGGATGCATTAGAACATCATTAGATAAGATAAAAAAGGATAAAAACAACTGTTCCTGTTCAGTTCCCTGTAAACAGATTATCTATGAACCAAATCTATCGTTTTCGGCAATATCTCAATTCGAAGCTGATAAAGTAATACTTGGAAATGTTAATAGAATGGAAACATTAAAAGAAGAATATTTGAATGTTTTAGAAATTGGAGAAAAGAAAATTGAAAAAAAATATAATTTAAATTACAAATTCATTGAACCATTTGTAAAAGATATGAAATTATTTTTATCTTATTTTAAATCTACTCATAAGATCTATAAATCTAATGAATTTTTCAATGGAATCGGTATAAGTTTAATTGAATCATTATCAACTGATATAAGTAATTTGACTGAGAATTTTCTGAGAATTGAAAATGCAGTTCATTCTGCTAGAATGATAGAATTATACGAAATTTTTATGCAAATGTTTGATACAACAAAATATTTTAAAGAACGTCTATTTGGGCCAATTCTAATACAAAAAACTTTCTTAAATTTTGATTTGGAAGATTGTATATCAACTATAGAAACTATTGATCTTTCAGAGTCATCAGCAACTTGCAACAACTTTATGAAACATTTTCGTTTCAGCGTATTCAATAGTCTAAGTTCAAATTTTAAAGAATTTTGGATAATTGCTCTAAGAGAAGCTGAAATATTTCTAGGTAATTCAGACACTGTTCACCATTTTCAAAGTGAATACATAATGGAAATTGAAAGAATATTTGGAATGGATAAAACGAATGCAAAATTGCCATACGAGACAAATTGTAAACAATTCTTTACAAATTTGTTATTTGAACAGGAATTTTTACAATTCCATGGCACAGATAATAACATAACTAATTTTGAAATTGGTAACAGAATAAGAAATGTTATTAGTGGATTATTTAATATTGAAGAAATTTTTAATGATCAAAAATTTCAATCTGTTTGTCTATTAAAAGAAAAATATAATTTTTTTACACCAATTCATTCAGAAATTTGGAAAATTCAAAATTCATCATCAGATTTCTTGATAAATTCAATAGACTTTAAAGAAGAATTAAACTCTATAGACATTATTCATAGGGATGTCTCATCAAAAGTTTATCTACTGGAATTGTATTTAGATAAAAATTCCTCAATAACAAAAGTCAATATAACTGAAATGTTTGAACTGGAAAACTTTTTCATTGATATAAAAACTTTAATAAGTTTTTATGAAAGTATTAATAGACAATTTACAATCTTTGATAAGCATGTTAAACAGATAACAAAAGAACTAGGGTTATTAGAAGATGCAGTAGAAAAAAATCTCAAATGGCCTTATCCTATAAAAGATGATACCAATTTAACAGTTGTTTATGAAACTGTCAATGAATTTTATAAGATATACAACAAATCTAAAGTTGAGTACAATATTCAACACAATTGTTCTGAAAAAGCATTGGAAAAAGCATTACAAAACAGCTGGAGTGAATGTTTTTTACACTTAGCAGATGCAATTGGACACTTTGGCCTTAAACTTCCAAAAGTAGTTACTAAATCCTTTACTGAAATTCAATACAAGTACAATGACCTTCACATTTTTATGGCTGAATTTAATGAAATTAGTAAGATAAATAAGGATTTTTTCCTGTAGGTTTTAATTCATATTTCCTCTTTCCATATTTCAAATAAATACAAATTTCAGAAAGAATTTTGCAAAAGTTGATGTTTTCTACAAAGAGATGAATTATCAAAAGATTACTCAACAAGAGAAATTTGGTTTTCTATCTTTGCTCTCTGAAGTTGGTGGATTTATGGGACTTGTTTTGGGAGCATCCGTTATCACAATCATTGAATTTATTGAATTCTTTGTTTATAAGGTAAAAACAAAAACAAAAATGGGAAAAAGATATTTCAAAAATAATTAATTGAATTAATTTCTTTTAGATTATACTAAATATTTCTGAAAATATAAATAGAAATAAGAAAATAGGGAATATTCATTGCGAAAATGTATAAGACGTTTTAAAGATTCCCTGTCTCTTTTTAAGAATCTCTTTGATTTCAAATGAATTCAGCCCAGTATATATCAATAAATGAAAACAAAACTTTAATTTCACTTTAATCATTTGAATGAAATGTTTTGTTTAATTGATTCTTACACAAATAGCTCTAAGTTTAATAGACTGGTTTAATAATTTTTTGTAACATTTATTTTCATGTTTTGCCAACTTTCAACCTTACTCAAGAATATCTTCTGAATTTCATGAAACAATATTCCTTCAAAAGGTTTAAAATACAAAACTCAACAAATTTTGTATATCTTTTCTCTCTGTAAGTAAGAAAAAAAAACCTTAAATAGGCCTGACATAATTTAAATAGAATTTGACGTTTAGACTTGTTCATTGTAATCAATAATAGACATGACATATCCTAGCCCTTTCTCTCTCTTTCAATTGTTTCAAGTACTTTTTTACAGATCTTACATACTAATTATCCATTTCTAATAAGAAATTTATATAAAATTGCCTATTTGATGATTAATTCATCATTTGTATTGAACAAATTGTCACTTTAATTATTGTTTTGTTGGATATTTTCTTGTTATCTGTTCAAATTTTATCCAGATATGGCTCATTATTATTTACTTGTTATTATTTCCTTTTCTTTTATTTTCAATATGAAAAGTCAAAGAGCTCTCTTTCATAATAGAATTAAAACAATCCAAAATGGATGACAATTTTAAATTGTGACATTTTTCTTTTATATTTTTAAAAATTGCTTTATCAAAACAATTTCTCCAATATTGTCATCAAATGAACAATCAGATAATACTAGTATTTTCAGTTTGCAACACTTTTCATTTGTTCTTTCAAACATTGAGTTTTCAAATTTTCTCATCTATTATCAATTTATTGATTGGCATTTTAAGAATTTTAACAATTTCTGGTTTTTATAATCCATTTCAATTCTTTTCAAATTCAACAACAAACTTTGTGCCTTGTTAAACAACTGTTTAGCTTAAAATGGCTGTCAAAAATAGGACATTTAAGTAAGTAGATATCTGAATGATCAATAGCAGCAGGGGGGATTATTTGTATTATTTTTCTTCTCAGTCATCTATTAATTTCTTGAAAATACTCCAAATAGAAGATTGACAATACGTCCATCCACAGGTTCAAGCTGAGAGGGAAGTGGTCATAAAAGCTGAAAAGCGTCTATTTAATAGTAATTGATAAGGATATCTTATCATTTTATCTAAAGATGAAACTCCTTAATTATGAACATGATATTATATATTTATCTTTTTTTTTAATCACGGGATGAATAATTTTTGGGTTTTTTCCAGAATTTTAGGCCTATAATGAAGGATGTATTAATTCAGTATGACAAATATCTATTTTATCAAAAAAAAAGAAAAAATTTATTCTTAAACAATTATAAATGCCATCTAGTGAGTATTAGTAGAATCAATTTGTGAGATAAGATAGTTTTTTAAAACAAAAACTAGTTTTAAGAAAATATAATATATAAATATATATTGGTGACCTAGAAAATGGACAATTATTTTGTATTTAAATTAAGCCTGTTAATTTCATCACACATTGATTGATTAATAATATTGCAAATCATTAGTTAGTATCTTTAAACAAATTCTCAACTTTCTTTCTAAATATGATAAACAACCAAAAATGAATTTATTTATGCATCTGCTCAGATAAAAAATGAGTAATTATAGATTAATTTTTAATGTTGATTTGAATGAAAACATCGCTGTAGTCTAACAACTGGAGATTTGTAATATCTACATTTCTCCTAATTTTTGGAAAAGCATATTGGCAGCCTCTGAATATGAAAATTGCTAACATTGATTACCTGGAAGACTGTCTATCAGGGCAATCATATTGTGAAACAGAAGAAGCCATTATTGTCTTAAGAAGCCTTAAAAACAATTACACTCTTGGACAACAATCTACATGGAAGAAAATTGGCAATGGACTTGATTGTATAAAATTTGCTGGTCATTATTCTTGTCCAGGATATTCTATTTTAGATATCCCTTACCAAGACAAATTCATTGATGGTATTGGTGGTTTCGGAACCAAAGTATTAGTGCCATTGGAAGAACAGAATCTAATACTAGAAACAGCCAGTGAACACCTACATAATTCATTACACTACCAATAGATTTCCACTCCAAATGAGAGAAGCTGCCAGAAACTCTGCTTTACTACAAGGAATTGATTGAAATTTCAAGAATTTGAAACAGTTCACTGAGTAATTATCAAGACTACTATGCAATCAATTTGTACAACGAAGCAGAATGATTTCATTACTTGCAAACCTAGATCCTCACCTGACCACTGTATTGATTAATCAAGTGGGGATATGCAGTAGCCAAATGGGAGAACTAGCTATAGTTAAGCAATGCTTACCAATAGACTCTACGGAAGTAGTTTGTGACTTAGAAGTAATAAAAAAGAAAAAAATGTTCTCACTAGAACAAAACCAAGCCAGGTATGATAACATGGTCAACATTGCAGAAGAGAATGGCATTGTATATGATCAATCTGGAGTTAAATAGTTTTTTTCCATAATTGGTACTATTAACCTGGAAAAACTCTCTACATTATCTTACAAAACATTTGCTTGGGTATCCTAGTATCAATAGTTTGCATTGTGATTTTCTACAATTTTCCAAAAAGGACTAAAGAAACACAGAGAGAAACAACTACCAAAGAAGATGAAGATAACTCATTAGAGCAGCCAACATCTCACATGCAAAGCTGTGGCCTTGGAGAAGGTCCATCTGAGAACATCAGGAACAAAGACCACCCCTGATCCTAATTAAGCCAAGAAGAAGGGACTCATCTTCAGAAAGAAAGGGGAAGTTGTACAACTTTTTAATATTTTATGCTTATACTATGCTACTATATAATACTTATTCAAAAACCTATGATAGAAATGCAATCCCTATTTGGCCCTTGCTTGGTCATACTTAAGGTTCATCTTTAAGTGCCTTTAAAGATTAACTGGAAACAACCACCACTGGGACAAGTCTTCTATCCTTTCAACATTGGACAAGCAAACAAACAATTTTAACTGTCAATTATAATTTGGCCTATCAAAATTTATGGTATCCATTTTTTATGAAATTTACTTAATACATCTATAACCAATGATTTTATGAAAAATTTTCATTGTTAAATTGTAATAAACTTACAAAAAGTTACAATTTTCAGGGAAAAAATTGAAAATAAATTAACTACATGTTCACAACTGTTCAATTCAGTGGCAATTTTTTTTTATTCTGTCCAGTCCTCTCCTTTCTCCATATACTTTCCCAGGTTGCCAAGAGCCTTGAAGAAACATTCATTGTAAAGAAAAACTCCAAAGACTAAATTTAAACTGAATATTTACCTGAAATTTCCTATACATTGCATGTATGAAGTGGAATATTCATCTATGAATCTGTGATTCTGGATAAATTTTGGATACAGCTCTCCACAGATCCATTTCAAAGTCAATTGTTATCTTCTCAGGCAGTGACATGCCAGTCCGGTTTCTGATACTCTGAAATATGAAACAGATATCTAAAAGGTTAAAGAATGAGTTTCTGAAAATAACACCTTAAATGCCTTTTTATAACTTTTTCTTTTCTTTGATGTCATAAAAATAAATGCCACAGGAACATGTTTCATTTTACCTTCTTTTTTAACAATATTTCTGTTGTTTAATGTCCATTGTCATTCGCAATTGCATCCATCATACCCTCATTTGCATCTTCATTCATTTCTGCCTGTATCACATCTTGATTTGAATTTTCATCCATTTCATTTTCATTCATCTTACATCTATCAATATATTGATTCTATTTTCAAACAATTTTTTAGCATATTTTAGAAATTTCATAGTTCTTTTCAGCCAAACCCTGTCTGGATAGTACTGAACTGATTTTACTTTTCCAAACCCCCAGTTTACAATAAAAGCAAATGTCTTCAGCTCATCTTGATATTTTTATTAATGCTATGATATTGTATAAATCTGCTAATGGACTTTTAGGCTTAGTCTCACATTTTGATGCAATAAATCACGTTAAAGGAAGCCATCAGCAATAAAAGAATGATTAAGTAAAATTGCCAAGGATTTAGTTTCCTATGGTTGGTTTTTCCTTCTATGATAATTAACAACCTGCTTGCAATTTGTAACTTTTGGAAAAATTGACATAGTGTCTTGTTGATATAGAAGCATCTTCTACAATTCTTAAGGCAGATGTATGTTTTTCTGATTCTGCTCTTTTCTTTATTTTTGTAATTTGTTTTAAAGTTTTCTTTGGAAGATTATTGCGAGGTTTTGAGCCTAATGTGAACACTTACCATCATTTTCATTGACACTTCCGGGACATTTTCTTTCTTTATTTTTGCCACTATATTTCCAAATTCTATTACATTTTCTTGTTTGTTTAACTGTATATGCAAATCCATAATGATCTAGCAAAGGTTTTCAAATATCTTAAAAGATCCATCAGTCAGAAAAGAAGGCAAATCCAATGAGTAGTATGCATACAAAGGGAGCATTTCCCTTTTTTCTGCTTGTTTATAGCACTGTGGCATCATTTTTGAACTATTTCACCTAAAAAGAGAAATTGTAATCCTACAAACTTTGATAAGAAAACTCAAAAAATGTTAACAAATAAAGAGAAAATTATTAAAAGGTTGCACACTGGATGTTTTTCATACAAACAATCTAACTAGCAAAACACTCTTTTTGTGAAAACTGGTTCAAGGCATGGCAAAATTTTTAGCTTCATTCAATTTTCTAAAAATTGTCAGCAAGCCTTAAATCAGTATGCAGACACTTCCAATTACCTTGTGAACCCTTTCAATTGACTTGCAAACCCTTTCAATTAGTTTACAGACCCTTTCAATCAGTCCAGATTTTGGGCTGGGAATTGATTAGCTATTGATATGTACTTAAAGGGCAATTTAAGGTTTAGGAGCATTCAAAAAGATTAGGCAAAAACAAGGGCTATGTTAGGGTTAGGGTAAAACTACAGATTTATGGCCATTTTCTACCACATCCCTTTTATTTTTGTGAACTATTAACTTTCGAAGGAGTATATAAATGCTTAGAAATTGGCAGTTGATAGTTTACTTGAGGGCTTGAAGCTCTTTTAATCAATAAATATTCTTTTGATGAAATTACATTCATTAAGACAGTCTGTGGACAATTTCATATAATGCCTTAGTTAAAAATATCAAAAACTTTTTCATATAGCCCCACAATCCATTGCAGTTCCTGTTTCCAGTTTTTTTGAAATTTCCAATTTGTTTTTCGATAATCACATAAAATTGAATTTAGCTGGTTAGGCTGGAAAATGCTGCACTTGATTGATTATTTGTCTATGTCTCTGCTTTAGGTAACAAAAAATTAACCCATTTTTTTCTAAGTATCTGAAAATGACAACATTCTGCGCCTTTAAAAATTAGCAATTCTTCCTCTTTTTATAAACAGTACCATTATAGGCCTATAAAAAAATTAAAATTTGATATAAAAGTCAATGGAATGTTATCAGAAATTGTTATCAAGAAATAGCACTATCTTCTCTGCTAAATCCCCTAAAAATATTTCAATAAATAGATAAAACAACAAAGAACTATTCCTATTTTTTCCCTTCTTCCTTACTTGCAATTTTCAATATTTGAACAATGCTGAATGCTACTATAGAATAGTACAAGTAGGAAAATCATTATTGGTAATTGTTTTAAGGCTATCAGTCTATTTCCATCTGCAATCAGAAAGTTCTTCACAAGTTGTTTTGCACAAGTTTATATTGGCATTTTCCTTCTTATAGTAGTCTTTATAGTATATGTACATGTGGTAAAAAAGAAACAATTATCTCATAATTCTGATGTAACAAAAATATGAAAGACTTGTTATATCACACATATAAAATATAATCCTAAGATTAGGGCCACATGCCAAACATGTGTCATTGCAAAAAGGCCTGCCTCATCAGCATATGGTATTTGACCTGCATCTTTTCCATGTTCTTTGTTCCTTTGTTAATTCCCCAAGTAGCCACCATCTGTTACAGTCAAAGAGCCTATTTCTTACAAAATAGAGTTCTTTCATATAGAATCTTTTGTGATAAGCAATGTACACAATTCATAGATATATGTGATTTTCAACAAGATTGTACTAGAGCAGTTGATGAAGTGAATATTTATTGTTTGTTTAGCTATGGAAGAGATTTATGACTGAATTTCAAATTCCATTGAAAGTTTAATACATACTTTTGAATGAATATCATTTATTTGCTGATGCTTGTTTATACAGTATAAAATTCAAATATCAATTTAAAACAAGTATAAATAAATATCTTCCAAGAACACCAATCATATTTATTGTATGACTCTCATTGTTATTACATTAATGATTGGTCTACTACAAAATTTAAAACAATTACAGTAAAATTTTAAATTTTTGAGAAAAGGATAGAAAAGATAATAGATATGGCAATAAATTGAAATGTATAATTAGTCTTTTCGACTCCTGCTTTTCCATCTAATTCCCAAGTATTGCATTTGTCACCCTGACAACACTTTTCACATTCTGTCTTTCCATTTGCAGTCTTGCAAATTTCATTTGTTGCTTCTGAAGTGCAAGTTTCATTTGAACATCCTCTGATATATTCTATCTTATCAGAAGTTTCAGTTCTATATGCCCAACAATCTCCAATGGAACAATCAATAATTTCCATTTTAGATGTATTATTGTTACTATTGGAAATCTCATTTCCACAATCAGCTTGATTTCCTTTGCATTTATAACATTTTTCTAAAGATATTGTAGGATAAAAAAATATTTTAATGGCATTATAATAAAAAAAAAATTTTTTTACTTACGAGCACATTCTCTATTATAATTCATTAAGTAGAAACCAGATTTACATTTAGAACATATATTACCATGAATGCATACAGAGCATTTACTTATTGAACAAGAGATGCAACTTTCTTCATCATCACTCAAAGAAAAACCAGTTTGACATGATTTACAAACAGCCTTTCTATTGAATGATTCTGATGTGCATGTTGCACAATTTGTAAATGTAGCTGATGAGCAAGGTATGCATTTTCCATCACTTTGAAGGGAAAATTCATTAGATATACATTTAGTACATTTACTAATATGATTGCTATTGGCAATACATGTTTGACAGTTTGGTGGACAAGGAATACAAGTTCCATCAGGTGATCTACCATATCTTTTCATACATGTTTTACATTGATAATTTCCATTGTGAGTGCATTCTTTGCAATAACTTGGACATTTTCCACAATCATCAGCATTTAGGTAATATTTCTCTAAACATGATGAACAAACCATTGAAGATTCTCCAGGAGGAATTTTACAGTTTTGGCATTTATCAGAGTTACATTTTTCACATAATCCTTCTCTCAATCCATAACTTGGTATACAAGCTGTGCATTGGACCTTATCATCAACTAATGAACAAGCACTACATCCACTTGGACAAATTCTACAAATTTTATTACTTGATATATAATATTTGTCTTTGCATGAAGGACAAGTAAATCTATTTATGTTTGCATCATATGAACAACTGGAACATCCACTGGGACAAATTCTGCATTCGCCATTCGATAAAACAGATACTGAAGAGTTGCACTTTGTGCAAACAGTTTTATCACCCAACCGAATAGATTTCTCACACCTGGCTTTCTCTCTATAACATTTTTGATCAATTGAGTCATAGAAATAACCAGAGTTACATTGCTGATCATCACATTTAGTAGCCCCATTAACAATACATATTTTACAATTTGGATCACATCCTGTAAAAATATTTGAAAACTTTTACAAAAGATGAAACCATTAACAAAATACTTACTTTCACACAAAGGTGGGTGAGTTGATAAGTTTAGTCTGAAACCAATCTTACAAGTTTCTGGTATTAGTATATTGGATGTAGCTGTTTGAAATGAACATCTTGCTACTCCATCTCCAATGCAAGGCAGACAGGTACCCTCAGTTCTATGCCTAATAAAACCTTCATCACAACCATCAGGTATACAACTTTGATCATCAAAACAAAAAGGACAGTTTTCTGTACATGCTTGACATATTCCATCATGATCCTTATAAAAACCTCGATTGCATTTTAAACATTTAAATAATCCATTAATTTGTTGTACACAAATTGCACAATTGGCAATAGAACAGGATTGACAACTAAAATCTGCATCATTCAAAGCTCCTGAAGTGCATCCAAAAGAGAGGCAAATAGCATTATTTTGATTTTCTGGATCAACTCTACATTCATCACAATTGTATGGACATTGTATACATGCTCCTACATTGTTAATTGCATAGCTTCTTGAGCAAGCAGTACACCTGTTAACTGTTGTAAGTGTTGAAGATGTATCAACAGTACATATTTCACATCCAAGTTGGCATTGGTGACATTTTGAAGTTGATGTAGAGGAAGCTTCTTCTAGGGCCCAACCAGCTATACATTTTGTACATTCAGAAATAGTTGATAATCCAGCTGCTCTTGTATATTCTAAACAATTAGCAATGGTTTCTCCACCTCCACCAGGTGTATTGTATATGCATTCTGAGTTCCCTTGTAATTCATAATTAGACAAACATTCAGAACATGTACAAATGTCATTAACTAAATCAAAGATTTTACAGTTTGAAATCTCATTAGTTGAACAGTTAATACAACCATTTAAATTGAAATTAATCAAAGCGTTATTTGAGCAGGTACATTCACATGAATTTCCACCTGAATTTAGTCTCTTTGTTCCACCATTACAAATTAATTCACTTGGACATTCAACACATTCTGAATTGCGTTTCAGTATATAATTAGCAGAACATTCAGAACATTTACAGACATCATTATCCAATTCATAAACTTCACAGTTGGCAATTTGATTTGTACAATTAACACAACCATTAGAATTTGAGTTCATAAAGGTATTATTTGAACATATGCATTCACATGCATCTCCATCTGAATTAAGTTGTGCTGTTCCATAATTTCAGGTGATTTCACTTTCACAATTGTTACATTCTGTATTGCTTTTCTTTACATGACCAGCTAAACATTCAGAGCATTTACAGACATCATTATCCAATTCATAGACTTTACAGTTGGCAATTTGATTAGTACAATTAATACAACCATTTGAATTTGAGTTCATAAAAGTAGTATTTGAACATATGCATTCACATGCATCTCCACCTGAATTAAGCTGTGCTGTTCCACCATTGCATGTGATATCACTTTCACAATTGTTACATTCTGTATTGCTTTTCTTTAGATGACCAGCTAAACATTCAGAGCAAGTACAGATATCATTATCCAATTCATAGACTTTACAGTTGGCAATTTGATTAGTACAATTAATACAACCATTTGAATTAGAATTCATTAATGTAGCATTTGAGCAAGTGCATTCACAGGCATCTCCAATAGAATTTAACTGATGTATTCCATTTGTACAAGTACCGCAACTTAGGCATGATTGACCATCTTTAGAAACAATATTACCTTCAGAACATTCATTACATACTGAAATATATGTTCCTGCTTTTTTCTTTAGTGTATAATCATTACATTCTGATATATCAGCAATTTCCATGCATCCTGCATGAGTTGGATGTTTGAGGTAATGTTTACCTCCTCCATCAGCAGTGCATCTCCCACATTTGCATACATGATTGTCTACAACAGCATGTGAACAATGAAGCAGAGTCAATATATTGCATTCCCAACAAATATATTGATAAGGATTTGAAGAGTCTAAAACATATCCAGCTGCACAGCCAGAGCATCTGCTATAATAGTTTGATTGTCCTCCTGTTAAAACATATCCTGTACAATGTCGACCTCCATATCTGCTTTTACTGACATTTTCAAGACCAAATTTTGTTAAAACAAAATCTGGCTTAGGAACAAAGCATCTTCTTGCATACACTTCATAAACAGTGAAGCCACTTTTACAATCATCATGAATTTTCAGACACATACCATAAACCAGTGAGTAGAGTCCAGTACATTTTGTGCATGTATTAGTACCTAGCATTACTTGTTGGCAATTTGGAGGATATGTTGATATTCCTGAGGAAGTACAAGTTCCAAGAATATTCTTTGTATTTGGAACAATGTTGTCAACTGCGGAGCTGTTAGAGCAGCTTAAACATTTGCAATTTGGTGTTGAGCCAGATACAGCTATATTCCATTTGATATTGCAATTTTCTACATTTATTGAATCACAAACAGATGGTGAAGATTGACAGTCTATACCAGTTTTTCCATTTGAACAAGAGATACAATTAATTATTGATCCTTCAAAAGTGCATTCACTACAGCCATCTGGACAAGGTAAACATTCGCCAGAGGATAAATATGATCCAAAAGCACAGGCTGTACAGATAACTGATGAAATGTCGGTCCATTTTGAACAGAATTCTCCAATTTCTAAAAAACAGAATTAAACTTCAGTTTGAAAATTGATACAAATCTTATACAAACTAAAACAAGCTTTGTCATTTGATTGAAGCTTTGTAAAACCAGTTGCACAACTATGAACAGTTAGATTGTCTGGATCTTCTGTAGAACATGCAAGAGCATTGGGAAACTTTTCTGAGCAGGCTATAATTTCAGTGAATTTTTAAAATATTTTTCATGAAAAGAAATTTGTTCACAACCTTACCCTGACACTTATTATATTCATCATTAGTATCTTGAAGGGCTGTAACAAATTTAGGGTTGTCTTGATTTCCCATACAATGACCTATTTTACATCTACATTTAAAATTTGGAGCAGAACCAAATCTTTCAAATGTGGTACACTGAAGTCTGGCTATAGTACAATCTGTATATTTTAAGCAAGAAAAAATTACACATTTTTAAACTGCCAAGATCAAACTAGTACCATAACATCCTCGTGTTGGCATTCCATTTATTTCTATATTGACCCACTGTGTATTTCCAATACATGTTTTACATTCAACATCAGTGTTTAGATTATTTAATTGGCAATCTTCACAATTATATCCACAACTTCTGCAATGTCCCCTATAAATCCCAACATCTATCAATATACTTCCCGGAGGACAAGGCATAGGAATAACCTCATAATCATAATCATATAATACATCATCAGAGAAATGATCACTTTCATCAGAAAGAGTACTAAAAGATGTACCACTGACAAGGGGATCGTGACAGGTTCCAGTTTTGAAAGAGAACTTTCCAGTTGTAGAATTTGTACATGGTGACCTTATACATTTTAGCTCATTGGATATCACTTCACAATATTTACAATTATTAATTGAACAAGCCATACAGGATTCAATAACAGTGGATGAATTTCCATAATTTGGAGCAAACCCTCTACTACATTCCAGGCATGTTAAGCCTCCTGTCCTTTTCTTACAGTAATCACAACCAATTGGACATGGAATACAAATACCTGTCAAATCATCATAAGTATATGTTTGTTGGCACATAGAAGCATAGCAAATTGGAGTTGTTGCAGTACTCTTTTCAAAGTAGCACTTATCACAATAATTAGGGCAAGCTATAAGAGTGGTATTGCAGAAATTAAAATATTTGATAACAAAATCTAGTATATGCCGGCATACCTGCACAAGTTCCATCACTGCTTAGAGTCCATGATTTTCCATTTTCTTTTTCAGTACAAGAATGAACAGAATTTGTTCCAGTACATTCAGCTCGAAACTTGGCAGAATTCCAAGTGCACTTATTACATTTTTCAGGACACTTTGAACAAAGATTGTTTGAATTTCTAGTATATTTTGCTTTACATTTGTCAGCTTTACAAATGAGATTGCCAGAAGAGACTTCACACTCCAAACAGTTATCAGGGCATTTGTCACATACTTCCCTAGCAACAACTGTATACTCAGCCATACACTTTGAACATTTTACAACATTGTTAGTTTCTATACAAGAATGACAATTTCTTGGACAGGGAGAGCATGAATCATCTTTCAAATAATAGCCAATGCTACATTTTGAGCATTTGTTAGTATTACTGTGTGCTTCACATTCTAAGCAGGCAGTGTGGACTGAGCTACATTTTTCACACTGTTTAGATGTTGTTAAAGCATAAGACTTGGAGATGCATTCAGTGCAAGTATCTTTATTGGAACATTTAGAGCAGCCAGTAATTGATGTAGAGCAAGGTTTACAAGTTGTTATGTTATTATTAGTTTCTTGATAGGTATTGCTGTCACATGTAGTGCAAGTAACTCCTTTACTTTTAAGGTATCTACAGGATTTACAGAATGATCCACAGGCTTAATTTAAAGCAGAACAACACTGATAAGTGCATTTGTGAATGCTAAAAACATGTGAGAACTCACCTACACAGTTTTTATTCTGGACAGTATATCCTGCTTTGCAGATTTCACATTGCACACTAAAGGTAGTTGTTAGCCAATTACACTGTTCACAATTGTGAGGGCAAGGAATACAATCATTAAAATTTTTTCTTATAGCAAAATTTTCTAAACAATCTTGACACTTGCTAATAGAATTACACTTTTTGCAGCCAGGTAAACATTCTAAAAGTCATTAGAATTAAAATTAAGAGTAGGCTAAAAAATTTTTGTAAAAAATTTTACCATGGCATTTTCCATTATTCATAAAGTAATGTTCAATACATTTTTCACAGAAAGTTGCGTCATCTGGATTACTTGAATCAGATTTCAGTTTACATGATCCAAGTGCACAATAATCTGGACATTCTGAAATAAATTTAATTTTATAACTGTTAAAAAATTGGAGATAAGAAACTAACTATAACAGCTTAATCGATCAGCTGAATGAATTGTTCCACTTTGACAAACTCCACAAGATTGTACTCTATTGGTTGTTTGTCCTTGTTCACAATTTAAAATTTCATTCTTTGATAAAATAGCTGAGTTGATATCTAAAAAAACAAATCAGTTTAAGTGAGAAGAGCTGTACTGTTTAATTTTTTTGTAGAATTACTTGTAAAATACGATAAAGTGAAAAGGAAAAATATTTGGTAATCCATTTATGATAGATAAGTTATCTTTCTTCCTTTTATTTTATCTAAAACTTTTTAACCAAGAGAGAAGGAATATATACCCTCAAAATATATTAACATATTGTTTTCAAAGAATATTACCTCAATTTTTCCAAGAATTCTGTTTGTTGGCTAAGCAAGAAAGCATTAACATATAAAAAAACGCCTACAATCAGTAAAAATCCTAGGCCTATAATCATAAAAATGTTTTTCTCTTAAGTAAATATTCACAATAAAACATTTTCTATTTTATTTGTTTTTTTTTGCTTGGTAACATTTGAAATTGAATTGTTATGGTTTCACTTTTTTTGAATTAATTTAAATTATTTATCACATTATTAACAATCTATAGAAAATATTTAAATAATCTACCACTAAAGAATAATTTCTTTTTTTTTGTTTTTAGAAATTATGTCCTTTAACAGGGAATATTCTATTTTCTGACAACATTTTGTTGTTTGACAGGACAATGACCCAGCTTAAGTTTTCTTCAGAAAAGTCAATCAATAATTTACAATAATCTGAGTGTGGGCGAAAATTGTTTATAGTCTGGTGCTCTGTGACTCTATGCCTTTGTTTAGTCACAAATCTATGCTAGTTGATATTAAATTGCAATTTATGAATATTCATAATAGGACACTTCTGCAGTTGGAGAGGGAGTTCAGTACCAGCCAAGATTATATTGTTTTTGTCTTATTGGTTGATAAATTGTAATGGTTTAAGCATAAAAAAATTATTTTGAGATTCTAAAAAATGAGATTAAATTGGAAATTTTAAAGAATTTGTAAATTGCGAATATTTTTTATATGAACTAAAACACAGAGCAAGGAATAATAATGTACAACTTTGGTTATATTTAACATGTTTGAACTCTATTATTTTATGCAACTTATACATGTACATCTTAAAACCTACACAAGAAAATGCTATAACATTGGCCAAACATAAGTCTGATTAGTCAGCTTGAAGGCTCATCTTTAATTACCAATAAAGGTTTGGTCAAGTTACAATTTAATTAACTTGCCTAGGGTGTGGCCAAGTTTTAATTCAATTAACCTTCCTAAATGTTCAACCTTGTAACATCCTCTTACTAAACATAAATATGAACTACACATTTTGGCAACTGTAAAGTGATGATTGGATGTCAGAGGCAAACCTCAAAGTATATAAATCCTCACTATTCTCATTTGGCATGCAGCTTCCATCTGGACCCAAGGACCTGGGAAAATCATCTGGAAACAACCTCCACTGGAACCATCCATCTACTCCTCAACATTAGAAGACAGTTTGGTAATTTGGCAACCTGCTTTTATGAACTATCTACTCTGCTATCGAACTCTCATATTGTTACTTGCTTAAGTATTATTATTGCGAATAAACCGTTTTAATTTAAACATTTGTTTAAAGGTTTGAGTAGAACCAGTATTGTTATAACTTGCAAATGCATAGATTTTGCCAGCAAGAGCAGTACAATGTTATACTCGAACCTTTGAACAAAGTGTTTAATTTAAAATTGTTTATTTAAAATATCAGTTGTTGATGTTAATCATTGTGCTAAAATTTCAAAACCAAATGACATATTAATTAAATCAGATATGGGAAAAAATTCCAATGTTTTCTCTATTGAAGCATATGATAATGACATAAGCTTAAATTCACAGTTAATTTATGGTGTCACAGTTGACAATAACAATGAAAAAGTTGATAAAGATTTCTCAATAAAAAATGGCACAAATCTTATTATAACAACAAAACCAATTGTCATTATTGAAAAATATGAATTGCTTATCAAGGTTTATGAAAAAATCCAAAAATCCTTGTACAGCTACAAGTTTATTAATAGTTGACATCACTGCCAAAAAGGCTAAATTGCACAAAATGTACATCAAAACTCTGTTCAAAAGTCAATTTAATGTATTTTTAAATGTTTTAGCATAAAGTTAGGATGGCCCTAATTTTTATATTAGTCACTTTTTTAATAATTAACTGATTCTATTTATGAAATTTTTTACTTCTTTTCTTCTCTTCTTTTAAACCTTATTTAAAATGTTTAAGCTGAACAAAATTGGCATTATTATTGCAACAATTGCTGACATTATCAAGGTCATGATAACTATTTTAAATATTTACACTTTTAAATAGACTTAGGCCTAATTTTGTATTGCTTTTGTTGCAACATTGAAAATCTACATATATCATTAAGTAACTTTGATGAATTAGTAAATGAGTAAAGAAAATGATTTATGTTGAAATTTTGTAAGATATTCCTACAATTACTATACAACGAGGTAGCAACAAAAATAAAATAATTATTATAGACTGATGTGAGAGAATATGTCCGCAAATCATGACTTTTACTCTAACCCTGACCCTCAGATGAGACCACTCTAAGTACAAATTAGTTATTGTTTTCCTCTTCCCAGCAACTTTTCAATCTAAAACTTTGAAATTTTTCATTTATAGACATTTTCTGTCAACGACAGTGTAGATAGCTCATTGAGTAAAATCTTAAAAAAATGTCTTCCAACTGTGTAGATTGGAACTAGTTCTTATTTCATTAAATATATGAATATAATCTTTGTTAATGCAAATAAAAATTTGAACACATTGACATCTTGTTTAACATGTATTCAATTTTCTTCTTTTCTTTCTTTCTTCTAAATATTTCCTTGATAAAATAACCCAAAATGTAGCTGTCATTTTTGAAGTCACTGTCCAATAATGCTCTTTTCAATTTAAATTTATGCAAAGTAAAGTCATTTTTATGTTTTTTCTGTATAATTAAGCCTAGTTGAATTTGCTTTCTTGTTGGTTTTTAAATTTTCAAAAATATTTACCTTTAAAATTGTAAAATATTTTTTTGTAGTTTCTATGTTGGTATTATTAGGTCTATAATTTGTAGTAACAATTTTATGGATCACACAGACCATAGAATTTGAATTTATAATTGCAATTTCTTCACAAATTTGTTTAATGAAAATAAAATAGGTTAAACTGTTAAAAAACCTATTATTAACATCCAATGGTTGATAATTTTTTAATTTTGTAGATTTCATCTTGTATATGTTAAAATTGATATTTTGATACTGCAAAATACTGACCATCCATAATTTTATCAAGTATTAATAGCCTATACAAAATTACAGATTGGTTACAAAAATTGTGACATTTGGAGAAAAAATATATAACACTGACTTCTCTTGCTGAAATGTTAACTTAATGAATTTGAGCAGGTTTTGGAGTTCTTTAAATGAATAAATATAAGGATTTAGAACAAAAATCAATGGTACTATTAAACCAATAATGATACTATAACTTTGATTGTTAAGCTTAATAGTGTAAAATTGTGACAAGATTGCTGAAGTATGTTAAAAAAAAATAGTTTGGAGAATAAAGAATGAAAAGACAAAGAAATGAGAAATCCACCTAGAATAGCTATTGGCATCCAACATAAAAAATTTGATAGAGAGAGTATATAAATATTTGTTGATATTTGACATAGAGAATACCAATGAAAATGTCATAACAGTACCCAATAATTGACATAAACTACTCATCCTCCATTTTTTTTCATTCTCTATATAATTAGTTTCTGATAGGTAAATGTCTGCTATACAAATCGCTAAAATGTATAAAGAAGAAAATAAATCACTAATTGCAATGTTTAATCTATAAATTCTAGATGTTTGGTGTTTTTTTCTAAGTAGTAAAATGATAACAAAAATATTTCCAAACATTCCAAGACAGCAAAATATCCAACTAATTGCTCTAAGGAATTGTAATGAAAAAATATTATAGCAACTTATCAAGATTGTTGATGAGGTTTGCAGTAGACTTCTAACCTAACCCTGACAGAATTTTTCCAATGATTTCAATCCATGGAAGAGGCCAACACCAAGTGCCTTTACATCACTGTTAACCATTTTTAAAAGTGACAATCTCCCTAACCTTGACAAATCCTTTCTATCAATTGAGTTGATTTTTGTATAAGAAATATCTAAATAAAGTAAATTCTGACAAACATAAATTATTAAAAAATTTAACAAATTAAAAGAATTTCCCAATAAATTCAAGTTTTGGAGTAATTCAAAATTTTGAATTGAAATGAAATCTAAATTATTCAAATTATTATCATTCAAATTTAAATTTATCAAATTTCTTATAGATTTAAATCTCCATTGAGATGTTAAATTATTATTTTGAATTGAAAGATACGTTAATTTATTCAATTCAAAAATTTTCATCCAGGTGATAGTACAAGTGCAGATGGCAAATTTCATTTTGTTCAATAGGTTGGCTGTTGTTAGTAATTGAAACACAAAAAATTTCATCAGATCCCATTTTGCAATCAACTATATTATTGCATATATTTTGATTTGAAAGGAATTTATTTTCTCCTCTACATTTGAAAAATCCTTTGTAAAAGTTAACATTTTCTGTGATTGGTTCATTATGCTATTTTTTTTTTGCTCAAAATTTGAATAACTTAAATGAAAACTAATATACCACAAGCTCTTTCATCATCACCATAGAAACAATGATTGATACCATCACAAACCTGTTCAATAGCTATGCAAATTTCTTCCAAGTAGCATTTATACGTATTGGATGGACAATTGCAAATACTTTTTGTCATTGGCTGTGAAATTAATTCTCCTTTTCCGTCAAAAATCAAATAACATTGGTATTTACTAGGCATTTCTTCACCACACATACTCTTATAATCTTTCGCATTACAATCAGCTTCATCTTTTCCATCGACATAGCTTAAACCAAAATCTGAATATTGTGGGACGAAACGTAGATAGGGGCATTTATTGTAGAAACTTTCCTGGGAGTAAATCAGTTTAGATAGATAATTACTGCTTGTCACAGCGTGAGTTGTTCCATTTATTCTAATATACTTTGTAGCTGATGAATATTGAAGAGGAAAGAGAAAGTTGAGTGATTTTAAAGGAAAAAAAAATTGGTCAGATAACAAAACTTTTTCACTTACCAGATAAAATTTGATTAGGACTGTTAATAAGAGTATTTTTCCAAATAAGGAGAGTGTGAATGATATACGTTTTAGAATATGTGGGA